GGCGGCCAAGGCCAGCGGGACCGGTTCTGCCCCGTCGCCCCGGCCCGTCCCGGTCGTCCCGCCGCGACCCGACCCGCCGCGCAGCCACCAGCCAACCCGCCACCAGCCAGCCGCCTGCGCCGCCGCCGCGGCGGCCACCTCCGGGAGGCGTTCATCATTCGCGCCTCCTTTCAAATACGATATCTCTATCTCGGAATTGGATATAGACACACCTCATGGACTGTGATGTCGATTCAGGCAATTTGTATCAAAAGTATGAGCAACAAGAAGCTGCAAATTAATACCCAAGATTTAAAAACATCGATTTTCACAAGGAAACCAGAATGAAACCAGCTTTTACAATATTGTACCATTCTGAATATGCTCAGTAAATGTGTCGAATCGTGGGTGCATAATTCCATTCAAATCGCATGAAGCAAGAAAACAAATGACAAAGACAAATGCTTGCATATTAAATAAAAATCAGAAGTTCATAAGAAAATTTGAAAAAATACATAAAACTTGCTTATTCACATTATTCAACCCACATCCACAAGAAAAGCAAGGAACTTCTGAATTGCCCTATAGCGGGAAATTATTTACTTCACTAACATGAAAATAGCAGAGTCGTTGATTTCCTTACATGCACATTCATACATCTGATCTTTCGACAAGCGTCTCAAATTTTTATTTCTATGGAGCCTGACAAACTTACACTCATTTACAAAAAATGTTTAACTATTTGGTCCCAGCTATGGCAGATATCTTAGAATCGAGTGTGACATTTAGTCAAATATCACAATAATAATCGATGTAAATTTCTCCACCGTAGTCGTTTGATATTACAATTCTAACCTTCTAATAGCCAAAGGAATTATATAAAATTCTTTGTTTCATAATATTTCATCAAGATCAAGCAGATAATATTTCGTCTTATTCGAAGGCACTAAAGACCATTTCGCAGTAAAGATTACGAAACGCCATAAAAGTATCATCACATCGTAAAAGACAATGTATCTCAGAGCCGAAGCCAGAATGTAGGAAGGGTTAGGAGCGTGTTGGTGGTGGACAGCCCTGCCTGCGGCGCGGGCGTCGCCCCACGCCCTCGGCCCGCGCGGCGACCGCGCCCACCGCCCACCGCCCACCGCCCCGCGTTCCCTTCCCTCCGCGCCGCGCGCCGCCGCCGTTCCTCATATTTGGACGCGGGCGTCTTAATCACAGCGCGCAACCGGCACGTTCGACCGACTCTCCCCGGCCCAGATGCGGGAGAGTGGACCGTTCCGGAACCCGCTTTGTTTTCGTGGACGCTCTCCACTCAGCGGGACTGCAACGGGAAGGCGAGGACGACTCCGTGCAGGCGTTCTGAATGGAAACAAGCGCACGAGTCTCCACGCCAGGTTATTACGTTTATGTAACATTACGTACACAAATGGTTAGTGACATACTAACACTCTAACAGATCAAAGAAATGCGTACTTTATGGCTTTGAAAGTATAATAAGAAATAAATTATTACTAATATTATTTTGAAAATTAAGCTCCAAATAATGATAAACTGTTAATATGAAAATGCTATTTTGAAACGTTATGCGCGATGTCAGTTTCGCATCGGTTTAGTGTTGTTGTTGCGCTCAATGGAAGAACTCTATATTTACCGCATCGAAACATTTTATTACGATACTGCTGGAAAATTCACTTCAAAATAATTAGTTTTATCACCACTGCAATAGCATATCAAATTAGTTCAATGGGAGGAAATTCTTATCAATATTGCCATGTCAAATATATTTTCAAAACTGAATAGCAAATAGAGTACAATGATATCAGTCAACGGCCTGTTCGTATAACCTTCACTTTCTTGTGACGCCAGCTAACTGCTGCCCATGAAGATGAACGTCCCAAGACACTTCCCCCTCCGGACAGGTAAATCGCAACCGATGACAGGCCAACAATAGGCAGGGAGGGGGGCGACCGCACGTATGTCAGCGGCGACGTGATTAGCGGCTCATCACTAATGGATGGCGGCTGATTGCGGTAAGATGGCGGCTGCTCGTGATTGCGCTCATCGATAATGCAGCAGCGGCGGCGGCGGGGGTGGCAGGGGGGGCGCGAGGGAGCGGCGGCGGGCGGGGGTGTCTGGGCCGGGGGCGCCTGATTACGCAGGGGACCACGCCGACCGCGCTAATCCTGCGACGCGCGTGTGCGCCCCCCCTCGGCGGCCTGGCCGACCGCTTCCACCGGGACGAAAGAGGGGCCGATCACCGAAATTTGTGGCTCATAAGCAAAATAGTGCAGCAGACTTTAAATAATTTACATGGTAAGGTGTAACACTCCCTAACTTGTTTCAATTACAAATGGCATACTTACGTATCTAATGGAGATGGATATTACAAGTATGAGCACTCTCAATCCATGCTACGGCTATGTTCATCATTCAAAACATTCAATTTTGAATATTGTGAATTTTCAGATTTAATATGGCACGTAAATAATTAGAAAATATTTAGTAAGTCATTATTAACTTCTTTGAAATAAAAGTGTATCAAATGAGTATTATCAAACAACCTAGCAGTATACGCATGTCATATAACCGCAACAATCATAAATTTATCAGTGCGCTAAGATTTGTTACAGTGTTCATTCTTTCTGATTATAAAACCATGGTTATAGCATTTGAATACGGAATTAACTTTATCAAGTATTTTTCCCTACAGTGTCTTCAATTATTTTCAAAACATTCTTAGTTAACTTGGTTTTTGGCTTTATTTTCTTCATCCTTCGCACACTTTCCAATAGAAAAAAATATAAATTTGAAATTCTAAAGCCA